GCCGCCCCGGCGGGAGCCGCCTCCCCGGGCGCGGGAGCTGTTTCCCCGGGAGCTGCTTTCCCGGGAGCCGTCTCCCCGGGAGCCCCCTCGACGTGAGCTGTTTCCCGGGGAGCTGCCTCCCCGGGAGCGGGAGCTGTTTCCCCGGGAGCTGCTTTCCCGGGAGCGGGAGCCGTCTCCCCGGGAGCCCCCTCGACGTGAGCTGCTTCCCGGGGAGCTGCCTCCCCGGGAGCGGGAGCTGTTTCCTCGGGAGCTGCTTTCCCGGGAGCGGGAGCCGCCTTCCCGGGAGCCGCCTTCCCGGGAGCCGCCTTCCCGGGAGCCGCCTTCCCTGGAGCCGTCTCGGCCTAAGCCGGCTCTTCGTGAACCTTCTCGGCGTGAGCAGCCCCTGGGTGAGCAGGCCCCGCCTGAGCTGCCCCCTCGTGAGCGGACCCCGCGGGAGCGGACCCCGCGGGAGCGGACCCCGCGGGAGCAGCGCCCACGATCGGTAAGACCTGTACACATGGCTACCCCCTACCCCGAACTACCACCCCTCACCCATGCCCAGCATCGACCAGACTGACCCAGAACTAAGCACACCTGTGGTATGGCATCTTGCACCCCAAGGTATGTGGGAGCCTGAGACAGAGGGGAATCCTGGGCAGAAAAAGTCCCAGAGACCCTCTCTTCACAAGAGGGAGACTTGGTGTGGTGGAGGAAAACCCCACAATCTCAGCTGAGACTGAAAGCCCAAAGTAGACAAATCAGGATTCAGGTATGCACCCTGGCAGGAAGAGAGACCCTACTTTAAAATGGCCAGTGAAAAATCAGGGCCAGGCCGGGTGTTGGTGACTCCCCGCCTTTAATCCCAGCTACTTAAAAGGTTGAGACCTGAGGATTAGGATTCAAAGCCAGCTGGGACAGGAAAGTCTCGACAGAAAAACCAGAAGTGGAGCTGAGGCTCAAAGTAGTAGAGTGTTAACTTTGAACAAAAAGAGCTCAGGGATAGCTCCCAGACGCTGAGTTCAGGTCCCACTACAGGCCAAAACTATCAGGGCTAGAGGAAGTCTAGCAAGTATAAAGCCCCGAGTTCAACTCTAGCATCACCATAAAAAAGAGCAGGGGCGGGGGGGGGGGGGGGATGGACGGTTACGCCACCTGCATGGATGGCTCGCGTTCCCCTCTGGCTGTCAGGAAAGGTATAGGCCTCTTAAGCCAACTCACCAGGCAGATAGACCATACCTCACAATCCATGGGAGTGAAAAAGAGGCAGAACAGGGGTGTCCTGCAACAGAAGTTGCTTGTTTGGAAAGAAACATAAGAAGATGAGAAAAGGGCACTTTCCCTGGTAAGTACAGCCAAGTGGAAACTAGTATTAATTCCCCAGAATAAGGGAATTTGCACATGACTGACTGACTAGTGCTTGGGTTCTAGAAAAATGAACTTTGTAGTCTGGATATTTGTTGGGGGTGGGGGGAGGTTTTTCCTACATGGAGAGAACAGCCAACTATCCATCCTGGGTAGGGGTAATATGGTCCAAGAACTCACTGCCCAGGGCATAGCAGCCAGTAATACGGCACTGACTTGTGCAGGAATAAAAGGCTGTATAATCCTAGCTACTGAGACTGTTGGTTTAGATTTGAGGATCATGGTTCAAAGCCAGTCCAGGGAGAAATGTATGTAAGACTCTTTTGTTGTTGTTGTTTTAGTTGTGGGGCTTGAACTCAGGGCCTGGGCGCAGTCCCTGAGCTTTCTAGCTCAAGGCTAGTGCTTTACGACTTTGAGCCATAGCCTCACTTCCAGTTTTCTGGTGGTTAATTGGAGATAAGAGTCTCACAGAATTTCCTGCCTGGGCAGTCTTCAAACCTTGATCCTCAGATCTCAGCCCCCTGAGTAACTAGGATTTCAGGTGTGAGCCACCAGCACCTAGCTATGTGAGACTCTAATCCCCAGTTAACTGCATAGAAAAGCCAAAAGTGGAGCTGTGGCTTCAGTAGTAGAGTGCCAGCTCAGAGCAAAAAAGCTAAGGAACAGTGCCCAGGCTCTAAGTTCAAGCTCAGGACTGGCACCAAAAGAAAAAAAAAAAAACCAAATACTTACTAATGGCTGTGATATAGTTGGTAGCTTATACATGCTTGTCCAGCATGTGTAAGGCCCAGAGTCTGATCACTTCAAAAGTGTATGTGTGTGTGTGTGAGAGAGAGAGAGAGAGAGAGAGAGAGAGAGAGAGAGAGTGTGCGCACGCGTGAGCGTGTGTGTGCCAGTCCTAAGGCTTGAACTCAAGGCCTAGATGCTGTCTCTGGGCCTTTTTCTTTCTTTCTTTTCTTTTTCCTCTCAAGGCTAGTACTCTACCATTTGAGGGATGCCTTCACTTCTGGCTTTTTGATGTTATTTGCTGTGATTCTCAAATCTCAACCTCCTATGTAGCTAGAATGACAGGTGTGAGCCAGCAGCACTAGGCCACTTCTGAGTTTTATAGTCATGAATTAAAGATGAGTCTTCATGGGCTTTTCTGTCAGGCTTTCTTTGAACCACAATCCTCAGATCTCAGCCTCCTGAGTAGCTAGGATTACAGACATGAGCCACCAGCATCCAAAGCTTTCTTTTTTTTTTAACAGGCCCACTATGAAAGACAAGAGATTTGAAATCATGCAAATATGCCTTCCCAATAAGTTTGGATTAGGGAATTGATAGGAAGAGAGAAAATGCACTTGGTGGATTGAATGGCAAGAGGGGAAAGTTTTAGGGTTCTTTTGCACAAGCATCCATAGTCATGGTGTCTCTGCCTGCTTCTCTAAGAGAAGCATGATTATGTTGGGTGTGTGTGTGGTGATTTGGGCCTTGTATTCCCCTCAAGTCATCGAGCGGAGCAGCTGGCTTCTGTTTATACTGACTCCACAGGGTTTTTTGTTTTTTGGTGGTTTTTTTTTTAACTCAAGTACATTATCATTTTTAAGGAATTTAGCTCTGAATGTGTCTAGGCTTAGCTAATTTCAAAGGCTTCTACCCCAAGTCTGGGCCTTAGGAGCTTATGTCAAAACTAGATCTTGTTCTTTCGTGAGTCGGTGGCCAATGACATCTCTATCGGGGCTTCTGTGAGCAGGAGACCTCTGAGAAGATGTCATTTCAATCAGTTTTCCCTCAGTGTCATACTAATTTCTTCTGACGGGTAATGATTGTCATCTGGGATGTTTCCAGAACTTACCAGAACATTCGTCAGTTGAAGAGACTCTGGGGTTAATGTATAACAGTAAGTAAAAATTGGACCCAGGAAGGAGGAAAAGATGGTCTAAGCTGATATCTACAGCTTTTTATAAGTTGACTTAAATTTTTCTGTGAAATTTGTTTGTCTGCTTTACTCTTATTGCTATTATTTTGCTCATAGTAATCATCTTTATTATTGTAAATATTTCTTTATATCACCTTCCCATGTGATTTATTCTTCAGGGTATTGACCCTATGAATACATTCCCCGTTGTAATTTTTCTGATTCTCATTAAATATTTAACTCAATGGAGATAGTTAAGACCTCTTAGAAATGATCTTTAAAAGGTTTTTTTTTTTTTTTACAATATTTACTCCTCATAAATGACCAAACAGAGAGCCTGCTGCAGGAACGTTTACATCAGTCATTTAACTTATCTAATTAATCATACTTATTTTTTGAAATCTGTGTCACTTGGTGGGAATGTGGCACATGCTACATACAGCAGCGTCCCCCGTGATAAACGGAGTGTTTAGCCAGCCTGAAAAGCACGATATGAACATTGCCTTCAGATTTCTATTTATGAAAGATTTCACAACCTAAAATTTGTGTTTGTCCAGTGCACTTGTGTAAAGTTTATCTTTTGATATCTGTAAACCATTTCAAATGCGAAGGTTTCACATTATCAAGGTTAAATTGGATTCCAGGATTTTCTTCACCCTCATTGCCCCACCCCAAAGTAATTAGTTAATTAAGGTTGCACCCAGTAAACGCTTCCATAGAGGACTTCGGAGTTTCCATGAGGAGCCCTGGTCTCTACTGAAGGACCATATGGTGTGTGCTTAGGTCGACAGAAAGAATCAGGGCCCGTCTGTGTGGGAAATGGGGCAAGGGACAGAGTCACAGTCTCATTTGTAGACTTCATGCAATTCAACCTTTTGTACAAAGATTCCAATAAAAACTCTAGGACATATTTATTTTTAACATGGCAGAATTGCGAGGTCAAATATTTTTGCAATTGTTTTGCAATGAAGACCAGGGTCACTTGACAAGTTAGTAATGCTTTTAATTATTATTATTATAAGGCAGAAGATTATTGTTATAGGCTTTGTAAATAAAGAAAGATCTTTCTGAAACAAGCAAGATCTCTCTCCAACAACCCGTTTGGTTAAATCACATATGAAGTTTAAAATAAACCATATGAAAGAAGACAAGTATATAATTTGCTCATTGTTTTGTGATTGCATTCTTTTTCCCATTGGGTTGATATGATAAACAAAGCTGCTAGCAGTTCTATAGTGCATCGTGGGAAATAAGCATTCTGCTTGTTGGTAGACTGAATCCATCTGCAGTTGAACATCTGAACAATATTCTATGTAAAAATTCAACTGAGAAGTAGCATTCATCTTCTGTATTCCTTTAATTTGAATAGTCAAGTAATAGATGCATACTTTCAGTATATTTAGACCTGAAAAACAATTCTGTTGCACACATGAAAAGCATTGTTTGTTAAAAAAAATTGTTGGAGAAGTTTGATACATGTTTTTCTTTTCTTAGTTATCTTATTAGGAAACAGTTGTAATCTTTGTGGAGTTTCCCAGTATTGTAGTACATCTTTGCTATGGAACTCGGGAGTAGATACAGTTGAGATTTGGATGGTTTTGTGTTCTTCCCCAAGCAGTCTCGGCCGTGGAAGCCAGGTTCTGACTACATGTAACGTGGACTCCCTTTGTGGTAACATTTCCTTGACATTTGGCACCAACCAAGTAGCAATTTTACCCTCACCATAGGTTGCTGCTGTCTTACACATCCTTGGGCTTCAGCTGTGGATCTCTCTCTAGTTCCCACTGGGGTTTGCGGCCTGTCCTGAGCAGACCTAATGCTGTCCAGACTTGGGTCTTTCCCGAAGAAGTGTGAGCATTTCTCCAGCTGTCACTCATACTGACTGTGATTATCGCCTGTGCCACCCCTGCTGCTTCAGGCTGGGCACTGTCATAGAACAGCTGCAATATTGATGCAGTGTCCAGGGCCAGCCTGGACACTGCCTCCCTTGGACACTGGACACCCTCTTCAATCCAATGTCAGGCTTGCCAGCTCTGCCCTCTTCAGCCCTAGACTCTCTAGGACCAGCTGTCTTCTTGCGACCTTATTGCCTTTTCCCCAGTGTACTCTCTGTTCCTTAGGAAAAGTAAAAGAAAAGTTGTTTCTACTCCTCTGTTACATCTCACATCCAATTTGCATAATTAGCTAAGTATCAGAATAAACTCAGGTAATTAGTGATAGCTCACTGAACTGATTTAACA